CATCACAGCTCACAGCAACCTCCAACTCCTGGGCTCAAGCGAGTCTCCTGCCTCAGCCTCCCGAGTAGCTGGGACCACAGGCGCCCGCCACAACACCCGGCTATATTTTTTGGTTGCAGCCATCATTGTTGTTTGGCGGGCTTGGCCTGGATTCAAACCCCACCACCTTGGGTGTACGTGGCTGGCACCTTAGCCACTTGAGCCACAGGTGCCCAGCCAAGACTCTGTTTCTAAAACAAACAAACAAACAACAACAACAAAAAAGAAACCACTATCATAGTCCAGTTAGGGGGTAAAGGGAAGTTAAAGGAGGGAGGAAGGAAGACATATGGCAGAAGGAGGGAGGGCATGAGGCAGGATCTCACCTTATATGCACATTGTGAGAGTGTATAACACGCGTCCTGGGAAAGGGGCTCTTGTATAAATGGAACTTTACCTTGGAAGTGAGCACAATGTAACCTAAATATTGTACACTCATATTAATTTAAATAAAGTTTTACAAAAGAAAATGATCCAACTATATGTTGTCTATAAATGACACAAGTTAAATTCAAAGACACAAACAGGTTGAAAGTAAAAGGAATATTACTTAGCCATAAAAGGGAATAAAGTATTAAAGCGTCCTACAACACAGACCTTGAAAACATTATGTTATGTGAAAAAGTCAGACATAAAAGGCCATGCATATTGTATGATTCAATTTATATGAAATGTTCAGAAAAGGCAAATCTACAGAAACAGAAAGTAGATTAGTGGTTATCAGGAAATAGAAGGTGAGAAGAAGGAATGACTGCTAATGGGTAAAGGATTTCATTTGGAGGTCAGAAAAATGTCCTGGAGTTAGTAGTAATGGTTGCTCAACTTTATGAATATACCAAAAAATTAAATTTAAAAAATGCACAAAAGATTTGAACAAATATATCTCCAAAGAAGATAACCAAATTGTCACATGAAAAGATATGAAAACATATCCAACTTCATTAGCCACAAGGGAACTGCAAATCAAAATAACAAGAGATACCACTTCATGCCCATTGGGAAATCAATTATCAAAAAAATACAAAATAATAAGTGTTTGTAAGGTTGTGGAGAAATTAGAATCCTTTTGCACTGCTGGCAGGAATCTAAATTGTGCAATGGCTATGAAAAACTCCTGGTTCTTCAAAAAGTTAATTTACCACAAGATCCAGAAATTCTATTACTTAGGTATATATCCAAAAGAACTGAAAGCAAGAACTCAAACAGATATGAATACACCAATGTTCATAGCATTATTCACAATGGACAAAAGGTGGAGACAACCCAAATGTCCATCAACAAATGAATGTATAAACAAATTGTCACATATATATATATACACATATATATATATCTCACATGTATATTATATATATGCTATGAAATAGTCATTAAAAGAAATAAATTCTGATATATGCTACAAGTGAATAAACTTCGAAAATATAAAAAGGTTGCTACCAATGTGATAAGATTTTGTTTTTATTTCTTTTTTTTTTTTTTTTTTTGAGACAGAGCCTCAAGCTGTCCCCCTGGGTAGAGTGCCGTGGCATTACAGCTCACAGCAACCTCCAACTCCTGGGCTCAAGCCAGTCTCCTGCCTCCGCCTCCCAAGTAGCTGGGACCACAGGCGCCCGCCGCAACGCCCGGCTATTTTTTGGTTGCAGCCGTCGTTGTTTGGCGGGTCCGGGCTGGGGATTCGAACCCGCCACCTTAGGTGTACGTGGCTGGCGCCTTAGCCAGTTGAGCTATAGGCGTCGAGCCTTGTTTTTATTTCTTATATAACTCTAGAGTGAATATGGTTTACATAATTCTACAATAACTTTTCTTCCAATTTCCCAGAAAAGATTTGTTTCCGTATTTAAAAACTAAAAGTCCACAAGTAGTATTAGGTAAGGCCAAATCCCCACATATTTTATTGTATGGCTTAATACCAGATTTAATTATTAGTTTTCCTACATATAATTGTTAGGTGTAGATGTTCATCCTCTAACATAAATCTTGTTTTCTATTAAAAACTTTTAAAATGTTTATGTCCATTTTATTTTTAAATATTCTTGCTAAAAATTACTGATTAATTTCCTTCTGAAAACAAATCTTTTCGTTTATGAGACTAGTTGCTTCAGTGTATCTCTGGCTAACAAAGTATGCATATACAGTAAGACAGCAAGAGAGCCAAAAGTATCAAAATTGTCACTGAAACATATTACTTAATTATGCATCCGTCCTTAGAGATATAACTTCCCATGAAAACAGCAAAGAGAATATCACATCTCTTGGATTTAGTTTAGATTTTGACAAAATATGATGTTACGGTCAGGTATTATATATAGTTTCAATGCTTTAATATTAAGAGGACCAAAATATACTATAGAATTTCAATTTGACTCTAAAAAACTTGTTACAAATCAAACTATTAAAAAAAATAAGAAAAGAACATGAAGCAAAATAATAGGCAGCAAAGAAAGTGTGGCTTATATTCACTTTATTGAAATATTAAAAAGAATAATTTGTGAAAGTGAAAAAGATTGCTCCTTTAGTAATTTCTTTCTTTCTTTCTTTTTTTTTTTTTGCAGTTTTGGCCAGGACTGGGATCTAACCCGCCACCCCCGGTATATGGGACCGGTGCCCCACTCCTTGAGCCACAGGCACTGCCCCGCTCCTTTAGTCTTTAACTATGAAAATATCAACTTGTCCCTAAGAATAAAAATCACTTACACTGGCTCAGCACCCATACGAAGCACAGTGGTTACAGCGTCGGCCACATACACTGAGGGTGGCAGGTTCAAACCTAGCCTGGACCTGCTAAACAACAATGACAACTGTAACAACAACAAAAAAATAGCCAGGAGTTGTGGCGGGTGCCTATAGTCCCAGCTACTTGGGAGGCTGAGGCAAGAGAATCGCGTAAGCCCAAGAGTTTGAGGTTGCTATGAGCTGTGACGCCACAGCACTCTACTAAGCATGACATAGTGAGACTCTGCCTCAAAAAAAAAAAAAAATCACTTACACTTAAGGAGTTCTCATAAATTACATTATTTGATGACTTCTATTCTTTTAGACTTTTAAGTAAAGCATAAGTAGAAAAATCAATAAGTAAAACAAACTATAATGTTTAGAAAACTATAATTACCTTGTCACTTCTGACCCTAAGAAACTTATCATGGTAATATTTAAATTATCATGATAATTTATTTATTTAAATGAGATTTATAGGTAAAAGAAACAATAAATATTTCCTTACTTTGTAAGATGGCAAGAAACACAAAATTCCTTGGCTCACAGTCTGGCATACAGATAACAGAAGTGCTCCCACTTCATCTTGGAACTCAAATGTTTCAGTATGCTGGAAGGTAGCACAGAGATTGCGACCTTTGGGGCCTGACCCAATGGTACCAACCCAAACCTAGAATATAAATATGTTAGTTAGTATTAGGATTATGCTTAAACAAGGGGAAGGTATTAATATTTAGCTGGAAGTATTTATGTATTTGTGAAAATAGATCAAGCAACAAGTTTAAAACAGACATTTACTTTAAATTGTTGGGTTTTTTCCTATTACCTTTAATTAACTGTATATAGATTTAATTTATAAAAGTTTTACCTTAGAAAGATAACAGAATTATCTTAGAATGAAAGTTCTTTAAAAGCAAAAAGAGTTGTACTTATCTCTTTCTCAACAGCTTTGTAAAATTAAACATGTAACAAATTTTTGAAATAGAAACAGAGAGGCAAAAAAGCAAATACTGCATAATGTTAGTAATTCATAATTAGGCATCCTCAAACTACGGCCCACAGGCCACATGTGGCCTGCAAAGGACATTTATCCAGCCCACTGGGTGTTTTTGCCACCGCTGTCTATCCTGCTTAGCAGCCAACTCGTCCCGGGGTCCACAGTCTGGCCCTCCAACGGTCTGAGGGACAGTGAACTGGCCCCCTATTTAAAAAGTTTGAGGACCCCTGGAGGTGATGGATACAAAGCCCCTTACTACATCAATATTACTTTTTCACTGGGAAGGCTCATGCCTATCACACCAGTACTATGAGAGCCTGAAGTCGTAGACTTGCTTGAGGCCAAAAGTTTGAGACCAAAATGGGCAACTTAGCGGTTCCGCTTCTATACAAAAAGTTAAAAAAATGAGTGATGTGCACCTATAATCCCAGCTATGTAGAAAATGGAGGCAGAAAGATCTCTTGGTGGCATCTGTGGCTCAAGGAGTAGGGCGCCAGCCCCATATACCAGAGGTGGTGGGTTCAAACCCAGCCCCGGCCAAAAACTGCAAAAAAAAAAAAGGAAAGATCTCTTAAGCCTAGGAATTTGAAGTTACAGTGAACTATAATTGTGCCACTGTACTTTAACCTCAGTGATAGAGATGCTATCTCAACAATAAAAAAATATTAGATTTTTCTGAAATTTATAATTTTTCAAAATTAAGTTGATGAGAGCACATGTAGTGAGAATAAGATACAGTCAATCAGAATAGGGCTGCGACATCATAGTTGTTCTGGCCAGGTTAGGTCCTATGTGACCTTCACCTTATGCCTTCCATTCTTTTCGTTTTGTAAATTCGGCTTTAACCTAAAAGTGTATATCTTGAGTAGTTTAAGACAATTAATTAAGGAGATTAGCTTTTGAATTGGAATGTTGTTATATGGATCATGGTTTATGACAATTATTATTTATTATAGGTCATGAGTTATGGTTATCCTACTTCTGTTTAGGATAAGAATTAATTAGTGTTGGCTCGGCGCCTGTGGCTCAAGTGGCTAAGGCGCCGGCCACATACACCTAGGTGGTGGGTTCGAATCCAGCCCGGGCCCACCAAACAACATGATGGCTGCAACCAAAAAAAAATAGCCAGGCGTTGTAGTGGGTGCCTGTGGTCCCAGCTACTTGGGAGCTGAGGCAGGAGACTCGCTTATGCCCAGGAGTTGGAGGTTGCTGTGAGCTGGGATGCCACAGCACTCTACTCAGGGGGACAGCTTGAGGCTCTGTCTCGGAAAAAAAAAAAAAGAATTAATTAGTGCCGTATAAGATAAGGGTTAGTATGGAGTTTACTTTTAAGTATAAAACTGATTTTGGAAGTAAAAGAACAGAACAATCTTGGAGAGGCTACTCTCACTGGTCTCCAGAATTGCTGGCCTTCTGACAAATAAAGTTTGGTGGACCAACCTCCATCTCTGCATATTGGCTGACAGTGACAGGTGGCTGGACCCTCTTCATCCAGTAACATTTCAGGAATCAAATGTGGCACTAAGTGTTATGTTCTCACATTAACAATGAACACAGAAGACTTCTTTGACGAAATGTGTGGAAGTTTTTCCTTATACACCAAGCAATTAAGCAATTCTGAAGCAGACACTAAACAGGTGTCCCCCAATTCAATACTCTCCCTCTCTTTCTGTTTCCCCAGTGAAGCTCTCCTTCAAAATAATTCAGTTCAATTCTGACATTATCTATCTGGAGGTATCTTTAGACCCACAGTTTAAGAGCTCAGACCCCAAGACCCTTGCCCCCTATTTCTCATAACAATCTCAAGCCCCAAGTTGTTTTACTTATGCTTCTGACCAGGTATAGAATCCCCTTCCTTGGATTTGATTAATTTGCTAGAGTGGCTCATAGAACTGAGCGAAATACTTACTGGTTTGTTATAAAGAATATCACAAAGGTTAGAGATAAAAAGATGCATAGGGCAAGGCACATGGGAAGGGAAAGACCTCCAAGTGTTCAGCTATCCAGAAGTTCTCCGAATCCTATCCTTTTGTGTTTTTATGAAAGGTTTATTATATAGGCATGATTGGTTAAACCACTGACCACTGGGATCAATTTAACCTTCAGCTGCAAGTCCCAACCCTCCAATCGTGTCTTGGTCTTTCTTAAAGATCAGCCCCCATCCTGAAGCTCCTCAGGGTTCCCTGCCAACAATCTCACTAACATACAAAAAGATCAATGTAGAGATTCTAGATACTGTATGAGTTGTTATGTCAAGAAAGGGATTAAAGACCAAATAAATATTTTTATAATATCTCAGGCATCTACACACAGGATTATTCAGTCCTAAAAAAGAAGAAATTCTGACATTTGCTATAACACAGATGAAATTTGAGGATATTATCTGCAACATGGACAACTTTGAGAATATTATGTTAAGTAAAATAAGCTAGTCAAAAAAAAGACAAATACTTTATGCTTCCACCTATATAAAGTATCTAGAGTAACCAAATTCATAGAAACACAAATTGGAATGGTAGTTACAAGGGGTTAAGGAGAGGAAAGAATAGAGAATTGTTATTTAATGGGAAAAGAGTTGCAATTTTGCACGAGGAAAAAGTTGAGATTGTTGCACAATAATGTGTATATACTTGACTGAGCTGTACACTTAAAAATGGTTAAGATGGTAAATTCTATGTTATATGTATTTTACCACAATAAAAATTAAAAGCAATTTTTTAAAGTTGGGGAAATATTATAGAATAACAGGATACAGCTGCAAAACTAGCATTGTTATTATAATTCAGTGAAATTACAGGTTTAAATGGACTTTTGTACATAGGCTAAGAACATAATTAGAGACTATAATAATGTTCTTTTGACAAATATGTAGTATATGCTGAATGTACCATCTTCGTATGTTTGTTTGTGCCTCTTAAGAAAGCAATTTGAAAATGTGGAACATATATTCTTTCTTTACTTATTGCTCACTGTAATGTTTCTCTACAGGAATACTCTGTCATTTTGAAAAACAAAATTCTTAGTTATAGAGGAGCTTGGCATTCTGGGCTCCCAACTACTAAATGACAGTAATTGTTCCCAAGTAATTGTGAGAACCAAAAATGTGCCCCTATATAAGCCTGTATATACAACCTTATAAAGAGCTGGAATTCTGTTAGGCACAAAGATATTAGGCACACAGCTGATCCCTTAAAACTACTTCATCAAAAGAAGCCAGAAGGCATAATGAAAAATGACAACCCAAACAATTCTAGGAAAATTAAAATAACATATATAAGGCATTGTTATAAAAAAATTACAATCTTAAATAATAGGATTCATAAAAGTACTTTTAATTCATTTCAGATTTCAAACGTGCTAAACACTTACATAATACTAGGTATTAATCTAGGTACAGAAGAAGAATGGGAATGTAAAAAGAGGTATAAGGATTTATGATACTCTAATGGAAAAGAGAAATATATAAATAATTATACAACAGAAACTACAGTGAAGTAAAAATTTTCTTTTGTTTATTTTCATAAAAAACTAATCTTATTACAATGCAAAAATTACAATACAGTCTTTGCATCCAAAGTGACTGGTTGAAGGAATACCATTCATTAGTATTTCCTTTTGTTGACACTATTAAGTAGCTAACATTTTCTTTTATTCTAAAACTGAAATGTTGAATTTCCTATCAGGGTTTGTTTGCTTGCACTTTAAGTACTTTCTAATTTGTTTATATAGCGTTGTATTGAGGCAGAAAGACTGAAGGCCCTCAAAAAAAGAAAAAAAAGAAAAGGAAAAGAAAAAAAGAAAGAAAAGCTAACCTGCGAGTTTTTAATGACATGATTAGCCTCCAGTTGGATAGTAAATGTTACACCAAGTTCTGATGAAAAGGATTTCATTGGTGATAATGTACCAGATGTCAAAACAATAGTCCGAACTTTGCCATTAATATCTGAAAAGGCCTAAAAGGAAACATTAGATACATAAAATTAACTTTAAAAGAATCAGTCACATTCACTTAAATGTTATTGAGCAAGAAGACAAAATTTTCATTTACAACATGATGCACTTACCACAGCTGGATTTAAGCACCAAAAGTTTAGCACATGCACTGCAGTTTTCTGTCGTGAACGTTTCTTGTTTTTTGGAAGAAGAGCAACGAGCATGTTTTTATCTGAAGTATTAGTCTCATTTATCCAGGAGTAAGTCTGTTGAATAGCAATTTTATAATCATCTGCAAATCTAGATATAAAGGAAATGCTAATTAAATGGTAAAACTTTATGAAACATATAATAACCCACCTACATATAATATAAAAATTGATTATATTAAAACTCAATTGAGAGCACTGGTACCTTCTCACTCAAAAATAACATTCTCCCCACCACTAATTGAACCCAGTAATTCTGATATAAATCAAGCCATGACATCACAGAATCAAGTGATTCTTACAGGGAATATTATAAATCATCTAACCATCTATCCCTCACTAGCCACTTTCTAACTCCATTTTTAAACATCATATAACTCTTGACTGAACCAGAAGTAAAATCTAGACCTCCTAACTCCCAATCCAGTGTTTTGGTACTCTATACCACATGATTAGTTGCAAAATAGAAAACTGTATTATGGTTAAAGAAGCTAAAACGTGAGCTATACTTTATTACACAATAAAATAGATAATTTTCACTGAAAATTACAAAAGTGTCAGCAAAAAATTATGAAATTTTTAAGTTCCTTTAACTGAGCATCAAACTTCATCTACTTTTTTTTTTTGAGACAGAGCCTCAAGCTGTCACCCTAGGTAGAGTGCCATGGCTTCACTGCTCACAGCAACCTCCACTTCCTGGGCTCAAGCGAGTCTCCTGCCTCAGCCTCCCAAGTAGCTGGGACCACAGGCACCTGCCACAACGCCTGGCTATATTTTTTTGGGGGGGGTGTAGCCGTTATTGTTGTTTGGCGGGTCTGGGCTGAATTCAAACCCACCACCTTAGGTATATGTATGTGGCTGGCGCCTTAGCTGCTTGAGCCACAGGCGCCGAGCCACTTCATCTACTTTTAATGAAGCTACTGAAATCGTGGTATCTGAGTCCCATCCAGTTTATAACTTCTTTCAGAAAGACTCTAAAAAGGCTCGGCACCTGTGGCTTAAGTGGCTAAGGCGCCAGCCACATACCTAAGGTGGCGGGTTCGAATCCAGCCTGGGTCCGCCAAACAACAATGACGGCTGCAACCAAAAAATAGCCAGGTGTTGTGGTGGGCACCTGTGGTCCCAGCTACTTGGGAGGCTGAGGCAGGAGACTCGTTTGAGCCCAGGAGTTGGAGGTTGCTGTGAGCTGTGATGCCACAGTACTCTACCCAGGGGGACAGCTTGAGGCTCTGTCTCAAAAAAAAGAAAGACTCTAAATGCCTAGGTTTATAAAAAACAAAATGTGGTATTTTCTACCCTGCCTTCCCTATAATATTTCACTGTTAATTTCATCCCTGGAGAGATTACACCCCAAAGTTAAAGTCAGGGGCCCAACAATTACAGAGAGAATTTTATAAAAATACTGAAGCCAAAAACTATAACAACTCTTAGAAGAAAACAAAGGAGAAAGCTTCATGACATCAAATTTGGCCATAATTTCATGGATATGACTCAAAGTATAGACAACAAAATAAAAAATTTTAAAAATGGCATCTCCATCAAAGGATACTATCAAGAAAAGACAACTCAGAGAATGGGAGAAAATACCTGTAAAACATGTCTGATACAGAAATAACATCCAATGCTGCCCCTAACACAAAGAATGTTATTTGCCTGAGGTGATGGATACCCCAATTACCCTGATTTGATTAATTCATTGTATGCCTATATCAAAACATGTATAAAGATATATAACTATTATGTATCCATAGTAATTTTAAAAACTACTACAACTCAACAACAGAAAAACAATACAATTCAAAAATGGGTAAAAGATTTTAGATATTTCTTTGAGAAAGACATACAATCAGCAAATAAACACATGAAAAAGATTCTTAACTTCTCTAGTCATCAGGGAAATACAAATCAAAACCACAAAGCGTTATCACTAGATAGTCATTAGGGTGGCTATTACACAAAAACACATAGTAACACATGTTGGCAAGGATGTGAAGAAATTAGAACCCTTACACCTTGCTTAATGGGAAGTAAACGGCACAGTTGCTGTGGAAAACAGTAGGGCAATTCCTCAAAATGTTACCAGTAAATGTAAGATTACCATATGACCCGGTAAATTCCACTGCTAGATAAGCATATTTACTCAGAAGAACTGAAAGCAGAACTCAAACAGATATTTGTATACCAGTGTTCACAGTAGCACCATTCACAATAGTCAAAAGGTGGAAACAACCCAAATGTCCATCAATATTAGAACAGATAGGCTGGGCATGGTGGCTCACACCTGTAATCCTAGCACTCATAGAGGCCAAGGTGGGTGCATTGCCTGAGACCAGCCTGAGCAAGAATGAGATCCCCATCTTTACTAAGAAACAGAAAAATTAGCAGGGCATTGTGGTGGGCACCTGTACTCCCAGGTACTTGGGAGGCTGAGGTAAGATGATCGCTTGAGCTGAGGAGTTTGGGGTTGCTGCAAGCTATGACACCATCTACCCCGGGCAACAGAGTGAGACTCTATCTCAACAACAGCAATAAGAAAAAAAAAAAAAGAATAGATTAACAAGACATGGTATATACATACAATGGAATATTACTGAGCCATTAAAAGGAATAAAATTCTGATATACGTTACTATATGAATCAACTCAGAAAACACTGTGGTAACTGAATTGAAATAAACCAGACAAAATGGACAAATATTATATGAGATACCTACAAAGGGCAACTTCATAAGATGAAAGTAGAATAGAGGTTACTATGAGATTGAGGGAGTGAGTCCAGAAAGATACGACTTCATGGGTATACAATTCCTACTCGGAATGATGAAAAATTTCTCAAAACTGATATAATATACAATATTGTGAATATGCTGTTCTTAATAGTACTGAATTGTTTACTTAAAAATGGTGAAGATGGAATATGTTATATATATTTCACCACATTAAAAAAAAATACTGGCATACCCTCAATGAATCCCCAAAAATAAATTAAAAAAACAATACTGGAACTCAGTAATGCTGTAACGTAACAAAGGATAGGGTGGGAGGGGTGGTTGATCTTCATTTTCTACAATACACATATGTGCATAGGAAAGAAACTTTCTGACACTGATAGAAACATAACTAAACCATATTTTAAAAATAAATGTAATTACTTATGTTTAGCACTTGAGGATCATTAATTTAATGATGAATTAATTAAATATATTTATTTACTGATTTCAATATTCATTTTCATAGGTAAAAAGACTAATTTCAATTACTCTAAGTCTGTGCCAAGAAGTAAGAGGAAATACATCATATCTGTAACATTTGCTTACAATGTTCCTACTTACTTATCCCAAATAGGTATGCATTAAACACATGCTACCATCCTATGAGGCTAATATTTTTAAGAAAAATAGAGATGAGATATCTTTACTCACCTGCTATTTTGCCTAAAAAGATAGTCAAGCACCATAAAAAGTCCTTTGAGCATTATTTGAGTTGAAGCACTAATAATAGGTACTTCTCTTGCCTCTTCTTTGCCATAAATTGCTGAGACTTTTTCTTCTTTTTGAAGAACAGCAGAAAAATGTCCCTGTAAGAAATCATCATATTAAGTACATGAGCATAAGAGGAGAGAGAAACTCTCTTAGGAGCATAAGGGGAGAAGAAACTTCTCAAAAGTGTAATGAAACCCAAATGAAACGTGCATTGGAATTTTAGGTGAACATTATCAACAGTTTGGCCCTACAAATCTTACCTTGAAATCTGATCCCCAGTGGGAAGTGTTTGGGTCTTGGGGGGGGCAGATCCTTCAGGAAAAGATTAATGACTAATGCTCTCCCCGTAGGAGGGTAAGATGAGTAAGTTCTCATTCTATTAGTGCCCACAGAACTGGTGATTAAAAATAACCTGACATCTCCTTCCCTTCTCTTCTTGTTTCCTCTCTCGCCATGTGACCTGTGCAGAGGTGGCTCTCCTTCACCTTCTGCCATGAGTGGAAACAGCCTGAGGCCCTCACCTCAAGCAGATGCCGGTACCATGCTTCTTGTACAACTTGCAGAACTATGAGCCAAATAAACCTCTTTCATTTATAAATTACCCGCCTCGGGTATTCCTTTATAGCAACACAAGTACACTAAGATAAAGACTAATACATAGTGCTAACGATGTATTTTGGATTCCCACATTAAATTGTCAGAATCAAAGACTCTTAATAATAACTTAGGCATTTAGGAGATTCAATACTTCTTCAGGTAAGTAGAATATTATTAGTGCCTTTCAGAAGTCACAAACTATTTCAAAATGTAGCAAACAGCTTCTCCAAGGGACTTTAAAAAGTTACTATGTTGCTCTGAATCCTGAATTATTTCCAGGGACTAAGTCTGATGCTGAGACATTGTGTCTATATGACATGCAAAATTAAAATGACTAAAGGAAACAATACATGCTAGTAGCAAAATGTATGCTAACTGGCTCATTTGCTTTTAAATGGCTCTTAAGTTTTAATGTGAATGTCAAGACAAAATTATAAGAAAACAGAAAAGTATGCTTCCCCACATTGTAAAAGAGAAAATTCTAAATATTAAAGCAATAAAAGACAGTGGTGACAACTTCTATATTTAATAAGAAAATGTGTCCAATTAATATAAAATGGGAAAATGGTTAAGATAAATAAGACATATAAATTTTAATATCCAGGTACTTTATGAATTAACACAAATCTACAGGAGTAGATAAATCAATCTTCACTGAACCAAACATTAAAGAATACAAATAATTCCCCCAACTGCAACCCAGCTTCCATTAGCGTCCCAGCTTCCTGTAAAGGAGCCAAGTCCAGTGGGGAGGGGCCCCAGGAAAAAGGCTACAGCAGGAGTGAAGAATTGATGACCTTCATGATGTCTGGTGACAAACGAATTTCTGCCCTCCCTGAATTAGACAACATTTTCAAATGGGTAGAGACCATCCATGGAGCAGCAGCACATTACATGAGGACCTGAGGTATAAGCTCTCCCTAGAGTTCCCCAGTGGCTACCCTTTCAACACACCCACAGTGAAGTTCCTCATTCATGGCCTCTACCCCAGTGTAGACACCCAGGGTAACATCTGCCTGGACAACCTGAAGGACAAGTGGTCTGCCCTATCTTTTGCCAGGATCATCTTGCTTTCCAATCAGAGCCTGGAAACAACATGACAGCCTTTGAACACACATGCTGTCAAGCTCTGGAATGACCCCATAGGTTTTAAGAAGTATCTGCAAGAAACTTGCTCAAACTTAGTAACCAGCCCAAGCCAAGTCAGGCTATCCAGCCTCTCCTCTATTGTCTTTTTACTTTTTCTTTAGGTGGTTTGTCCCTTCCTCAATTTCGGTATAGGACTCTGTATCTTGGCTGTGATGTTATTTTTGTTTTCTTTCTGTTTTTTAAATTGTCTCTGGTTGAACCCTGTGATGTATATTAAATATATACAATCTGGTTTTTTGTTAGAAAATAAAAATAAGTAGAAAGATTTTTCAAAAAGAAACAAAGATAGCGGCCAAGGGCCAAGCAGTGGGTTGGACACACAGGCGCCCTCCCTGCTCCAGCCTGCACAAGATCTAGATGGAATCAGAAAGATCCTGAATAATGAATGCAACCTTATGTAGTAAGAACAAATCTAGAGGCATCAGTTTGATTATGCTATCATAATCAAAGCAGCATGGTACTGGCATAGAAATACATACATAGACCTGTGTCACAGCAGAGAACCCATGCAAGAAACCATCCTCATAGTCCCCTCTGATCTTTGACAAAGCAGACAAAAACATACACTGGGAAAAAGAATCTCTATTCAACAAGTGGTGCTGGGAAAACTGGATAGCCAACAAGAAAAAGACTGAAACAGGACCCACATTTCTTGTCACTCACAAAAATTAATTATAGTAGACAACGGACTTAAACCTATGACATGAAACTATAAGAATTCTAGAAGAAAATGTTGGAAAATCTTACAGATAGTGGCCTTGGCAAAGAATTTTTGAAAAAGACCACAAAAATAAACAAATGGGACTTGATCAAATTAAAAAGAGTCTGCACAGCCAAGGACACAGTCAGTAGAGAAAATAGACAACCTACAGAGTGGAAGAAAATATTTGCATGTTATTCATCTGATAAAGGGCTGATAACCAGAATCTGTAAAGAACTCAAGCAAATCAGCAAGAAAAGATCAAACATTAAAAAGTGGGCAGAGGACATGAACCAACACTTTTCAAATGAAGGTAGACTAATGGCCAAAAAATGCTCCGTGTCTCTAATAATCAGGGAAATGCAAATTAATACCACATTAAGATATCAAACTTAACTCCTGAGACTGGTTTATATCAAAAAGTCCCCAAGCAACATAAGCTGATGTGGATATGAAGAGAAAGGAACACTCCTACACTGATGGTGGGACTCCGAACTAGTACAACCCGCACAGAAAATTCTATGGAGATACCTCAGAGATCTAAAAGTAGATCTACCATTTGATCTAGCAATGCCACTACTAGGTATTTACTTAAAGGAAAAAAAAAAAAATTATGAGAAAGATACTTGCACTCAAATGTTTATTGCAGCACAACTCACAGTCTCAAAAGATGTGGAAACAACCCAAATATCTATCAATACATGAGTGGATTAATAAAATGTGGTATATGTCTATCATGGAATACTCCTGAGCCATAAAACATAGTGATCTAGAATCTTTTGTAACAACCTGGATGGAACTAGAGACCATTCTCCTAAGTGAAGTATCATAAAAAGGAAAAACAAACATGTATTCAATACTAAATTGGAACTAGTTGATTAACTATGTGCAGATAAGGAAGTAAAACTCATCAGAATTCAAGTAGGTGGGAGAGGGGAAGGAAGGGGATGGGCAAATTCACACCTAATGAGTATATCACATACTTCCTGGGTGAAGGACATGCTTATAACCTTGACTTAAATTACACAAAAGCAAACTATGTAACCAAAATGTGCCTACCCCCATAATATTCTGGGGAAAAAGTATGCCAGAAAGAAAGAACAAAACAAGTGAAAACAATAAATAATGTAAATTAAACAAAAAAAAAGAAATGACAAATGAAAAGGACAAAATGAACTTATAAAAACATTCAGCCCTCCAAATTGCTATTGAAATAAAACTATTAGGCTCAGCGCCTATAGCTCAACCGGCTAAGGCGCCAGCCACGTACACCTAAGGTGGCGGGTTCGAATCCCCAGCCCGGACCCGCCAAACAAC